TTTTATTTTATTTTATTTTTTATTTTATTTTTATTTATTTTAAAAAAATAAATTTTTTTAAAAAAAAATTTTAAATTAATTAAATTAATAAAACTGCTGTTCAACGTGAAAATATTTCTGGAAATAGTAAAATTATATTTGTGTAATGAAATCAGTAATCATCTACTATAACGAATTATTCGTTATACATACCGCATAATTCGTTATAGCGTTAATGAAGATTCTTATAACGAAGTCCTGATCGGCTGGATCAGCAACTTCGTTATATCGAGGTGTGACTGTATGCATAAAAAAGTACTGAACTTATTTAGAATAATAATCAATATTGTCATTATTATCTGTTATAAATTTTGCTAAAATAAATGAACTTTTTATATAATGAGATGATACTGAAGAGCTGAATACTTCATAATCAATTTGATATCTTTCAAATTTATTCATTTTAACTTGAATTATAATGGCATTTTCCAGTCTCTCTCTAAATGGCTTCTTAAATTTAAGCATTTTGTAAATTGCCATATAATATTTAACAATTAAATCAAGCATTTTAGATGAAAGCAAAACATTTTCTGCATAGTATTTTAGTATTTCATCTGGAAATGCTTCATTTCTAGTAATTGTCGATTTTTGAATGTTTCTGAAGGTCAACTAAAATCATTGTATTTCATCAGCAGAAAATTGGTTGGCTTTTGAAAGTAAACCAACAGATAATCTATTATTAAGCAAATCTAAACCCTTTGTCTCTATATTGAAATTAATAATATTGCTAATTTGATTATCAAATATTAGATGATGTATAATTTCTAGTTCGATTTTACTATGGCTATTCAATAAAGAACCTAAATTATTTAAATAAATGTAAGTAAAAATATCTTATTTAAAAGGTAACAAAATATTGAAAAATATATATCCAATATGCCATTCATATATTCAAATAAAAAATATCAGAAAGTATATAAAGAGTTATAATCAAATGAGCATTTATATAAGTGAAGTAATAAATGTAAATTTAGTGTGATTTTGTTATAATCATAGTTTTCTTCTATTAATTTCACTACGCTGATCAACCTTTGATAAGCCTCTCTTATAAAATCAATTTTCACAATTTGACTTACTAGAATTGTACAGATTCTTACAAAATGAACAAGAATCTTCTGATCATTTACTAAAAGATGTTCTCAAAGAGAGACTGTTACATATACTATAATAAATATTTACTATTAATCAGTAGTAAAATTAGAAAAGCCGTCTCTACTATTGACTTTTCCTAGGATTCAGCCTAAATCAGACAGAATTTTAAATTCATTTATCTTTTTCTAAACTACTCTCAAAATACATGGTATCAATATGCCTTCTTTGATCCAAATTTTCCTTACAATCCACTTCGTAATTCTCAGAAATAAATAGTGCATAGAATTAACAATAGTAAATTAAATTGGATCAAAGTATGACAAACACAATAATTCAGACCACCTAACACCAGTAAGCTTTATAAATCATTCTCTTATTGCGTTTAAATTATAGTATTTTTATTCTAAAACCTCTTGACAATATTGAGCTGAATCTCGAAAAATAAACTATTTATTTATGTTATTTATTCTTGCAAAATTATGTTGATAATTTTCATAATTTGTCGCTTTTTTGCATCTATGACATGACATTAAGGCAGAAACATGATCATAAATTTTTCTTGCAGCTAGCATATCACATAAAACGAGTATTAGAGCTGTACAGATTCTTTTTTCTTCTTAACATTCATATGTTTGATTTAATTTCACTTCATCCTAAAGTGACTTTAACTCATTGACAATTAGCACCAGATAGTGATTTATTTTATGTAATTTTACTTCATCTGGGTTAGGTAATAAGCTAAGAACTAATATATTTTTATATTTAAACTAAATGTCTTATGATAAATTATAAATAGCTGCGTATAATACTCTAGTGTTATGTTTTGTACTATTGAATGGTTAGAACTAATCCAAATTTAAAACCATTTTAAGATATGAATTAGTAATATCAAGTCAGAAAAAATTATTTGAATTTTTGTCTATTGATTCTTTGAAAGTTTTTCAAACTTCACTATCATAGATATCAGTCAATATATTACCAAAAGTTGGCCAATTTATTTAATGTCTTAGTAAACTTTCAAAATCAGGTCAACAATACATTGCTTCCAATTGTTTTTAATATTAACAACTGGAAATATCAATTTGAGTTCAAATAAAATGTTATTTAATAATATTATTTTCAGTAATAAAGGTATTTGATACAATTAGAGTTATTGAATTAAAAAATGCAATATAGCTACACTTTATAATGGCAAGTTGTTCATTTTGACGAAATTCTTTTACTTCCCATTTGTTATGTAATTTGTAGCATTTTGGACACATCATAAAACTATGAAATTGATCTTTAAGATCAAGGACTTTTCTTGCAAAATATAAAGTATTAGGAAATATATCAAAATTAGAGCCATCAATTTCTGTTAGAACAAGCTTCAAGAATTATATCATTGATTCTGTAGCTATTTCTGATATATTAAACTTCATTCAAAAACTCATGGTCTACAACAGTATTTATAACAATCGATTTTTATTTATTGTATTTGAATCATAAAATAGCTCAAAAAATAAACACAAATAATCCTCAAAAATTTCGTGATATTCATCATTATCAGGTGATTCATACCTATTATCAGAAGTTTTATCAGCTGATATATCTTCCAATTCAGCAATAATAGCTGATCAATTCACATATCTTCTGAATTATTGTCGTTGTCGAGGTAAGAAGATAAATTCAACTTCATCTTGGTCAGCTTTATCTTCTGATTCATCTTCAAATTAGTCATTATTAGGCAATTCAACTTTTGATTGTAGTTCAGCTGATGTCTTATCAGATAGATGTACCTTTGTTCTATTTGAATTATTAGAATTTTGATTAATTTTGTGAATAACTTTTGTACGAGAATTTACAAATTGCCTATTACATCCAGAACAATTATATATAACTAATCTTCCACTACGTAATAGTGTAGTTAAAGATTCTTCATTAAGTATACTAGATATTGATCAATTTTTTCATATATGTAATAAAGGTATAGCATAAGGTCTAGTTGATTCTAATTCTTCATTAAGTATACTTAATAATGATTTTTTTTTCAATATTTTTAAATGATTTCAAAATAAAGTTTAAATGTTAAACTTTTTATTGAACAGCTATATATCAATATATTTAAATCTTAAAAATTGTATCAATTATTAATATATTAATATGAATATCAGATAAATATTGAACTTGTATCAATAAATTGAAATTAAATTGAATTCGCTTGTGAATTCTCATTAATTAATTGTTTAATTTTTATAGTATAAGGAGATATTGAAAGTTTAAGTATATTAATCAGTTATTAATTAATATATCAAATTTTTATTAAAATTAAATATATTAAAAGTTTCTGAAAGCTTATTTTAAACTATAAAAGAGCTCTTATTTCTCTTCGTATCTAACTAAATCTTTTTTTTTTTTAAAAAAAATTATATACTTAATATAAGTCAAAGTAAAAAAAAAAGGTTGGCTGAGTCTTCTGCTGAAGGGTCAAATACATCTCAAAGAAAAGAAATTCCTAGTGCAAATTAGTTACAAGATATAATGGAAAGATATAAAATCATTCAGCTTCTAATATGATATCAAATTAGTAATAAAAAGAAAGAGTCAATAATCGCTTATGAAGAAGAATATAGAAGTAAGCTTAAAGAACAAACTGGAGAGCAAACTAGTAATGATAATGATTTGTTATCAGATCAGTATTTTACATATTTTATTTTTTGATTTTTTTTCTTTCTTTTTTTCTACTTATATTAACTAATTTTATATTTTTTACACAGTGAATAGGAAATTAATTAAGCAAGTATAAGAAATACTCCAACTTAGAATAACAACATGAGGAAATAACAAAACATTCAGAGACTATTTGCAATGAGATAAATCACTTACAAAAAGATAACGAATTGCTTACTAGCCTTAATATAGAATTTGAAAATGAAAATAATGAATTAAAGTGTGAAAATGTCAAGTTAAAGAAGAAGCTTAAACAATACGAATTATATTATCCAGCATCAACTTCTGATGATGATCATTCAGCAAAATGGCTCAAAACATCTAAAAAAAAGAAAAGAGGCAAAATACTATTATGTTATACTAATGATAATTCAGATAACAACAGCAATAACAGTTCAGAGGATGAACTACCTAAACATAGTGAAAAAGAAGTCAGGGTTTGTAAATTTTTATCTAATATTGTATATCTTTTATACTTTTATACTAATTATTCAGATTTTAAATTTTTTATTTAGATTAAGATGAAAGCAATTCTTAAGACAATTAAACTGATTAATAATTTAGATTTTAACGAAATGTTTAATAGTACATAAAATATCAAGATTTAGTACTGATTAATCTCTAAATTATGTCAGACAATAATGCTAAACTATTATTCATTAGTTAAACAACTAATGATTTGGTTAAATTGTTTACATAAATCCTGACAAATTCAGTTAAAATTAAAGAAAATTGAAAATACTGATAATAATTGACATGTATATAATAACAGTCGAATTTAAGATATAAGTAATCTATTAAAATTAGCAACTTTTTAACTTTATTGTATACTAATTTTTTTATCATTTTTAAAAAATTTATGTTAGATCAGAGCTGCAAATTCTCTATATAGAAATAAGAACGAATAAGTCGATAATTATGACAAACAATCCTTATTAAAAATTTTGGCAAATTGAACATATTATTCATCAGAAATAAATGAAACTGATAAAGATGATCAAAATCAAAACGTAATATCTGTATATAACTACTCGTAAAGGTCTGAAGAGGTTTATATTTTCCTTTTTGCTTCTCTTTATTTTCTTTAATTCACTTTAATTCAATTTGTCTTTTTTAGCTTAAGATGCTTCTTTAAAATGTTCTTGATTAACATTCGACCATAATTCAAACAGTCAAAGTGTAAAGAAAATGCATATACAATGACAAATTGCAACATTTAAACTATATGCATTCTATGAATACTTCTATGTAGTCATATATCAATCAAAAAGGCATGATATATAATACTAAATTTAATAATAAAAGGAAAGAAAATGAAGAAAGAAAGAGATAATGCTATTAACTAACCATGAAGAAACCTTGACAGTTTTGATCAATGCATCACTTTTTGATAATGACCTTGTAATGGATGATTAACAAATCTAATCTTATCATCATCCTTGCTCTACATAACACAAATACAAAACTTCTGATAACTATCATTACATCATGAACATTTATAACATTTAATAAGTATCGAATATATTTTTTTTTTATTTATCTTATTTTTATTATATTTTTATTATTTGATTACATTTTGAACATTATTATAACATTTATTAATTATCAAATATTTTTTATTTTTATATTATATTTTGATTATATTTATATTATATTTTTGTTATATGTTTGTTATATTTTTGTCATATATATATATATATAAATAAATTTTTATAAATTACAATAAATAGTTACTTAATAAATCATATATTGTTTGTATTCAAATTGCGTCTTATTATCTGATTTTAGACAATCTATAATCTATAATTTACCTGCTGAATTTAGTATATACTAGTTCTGATTTTTATCCAATTTTATTTCTAAAGTTTATCTGATTAGCTGCTAATCAGACAATAATTAGAATATATGATTTTAGTAAGAATCAGCCAATATTAAGCCACAATTCAGACAAAAATCAGATATCTGATTTTTATCTGAATTAGACTATTTCGACTAATGTTAATTACTTTTAAATATTATTATTTAAGTATAATTTCAATTATAAAAAATATTATAAAAAATAAATAATAAAAAAATGATTATAAATATATTAATCTTATTATTTAAAAATTTTTAATAAGAAATTATAAATTAAATTTCTAATGATTCAAGTTTATAACTTGTTAAAACTTTAATATTTTATATTGTAATAAAATTATTAAGAAAATAATAAATAAATATTATATTAATTTTTATTTAATAAAATTAATTACTTTTTAATTTTAAAACATTATATTAAATATTTTAATTAGTATATTAATTATAAAACTAAAAAAAAATTATTTATTTATTTTTATTTAGATATTTAATTCTATAATATAAATATTTTGTAATAAAAAGAAAAGAAAGTTATCAAAAAATTTTTTATTTTATGATTTTTTTTTAAATAAAATAAATTTAAATTTAATATTAATTTAAAAAGTTTTTTTTGATAAATTTTCTTTCTTTCTATTGCAAAATATTATACAAACATAAAAAAAGATTAAAATTTATAAATAATTTACATTTATTTTAATAATTTTAATTTTAAATTTAAATTATTACTAGATATTTGAACTTAATATAATAAATTAAATTTTTAAAAACTTTTAATAATTAAAAAAATTTAATAAATTTGATTAATTAATTTAAGTAATCTATTTAAACTATAAATTTCTCAAATTAAATTATTTAAATACTTAATACAGTTAATAATAAAGGACTATTTGTAACTTTAATAAAAAGGATTTGAGCTAATACTTTTAATCCTAATCCAAAGATTAATATTAATAAAGTTTTACAATATCCAATATTTAAAAATACTGTAAATTGAAAAAAAAAAATATTTTTTTTTTTTGATAAGCTATATGTAATATTATAATATAAAATAAAATAAAAATCCTTTAAATACCTTCAAGTGCTTCAACATTAGAAGTTATTACTACTATATTTATAAGCCAAGAATATTTAAATTCATTATAATCCCAAATTACCATTAAAATTAATAAAATTTTTCCAAAACTTGATATTATTAATGCTATGGTAATATAATTATATCTAAAAATCAAAACAAAATCAGTTAATTGAAATTTGGTGATTTTCTCACATTTGTTGTTTTACACTCACTTGACAATAGCATATTTGTCTCCAATATATAAACTTACAGCCAACCTTAAACCAAATTGAAAGACAACAAATTCTAAATGAAATAATAAGTTATTTTAGGTTTTAAAATCTGTTTTTTTTTTTTAAAAAGTTTACTTGCCTATGATACATAAAAATAAAATATATAAATACTGAAGAAAGAGTGGTCGTTCAATAAATGAAATATTGGAAACTGTATAATATTTTTCTAAGCTAAACCATTTTATGTCTTTTTTTAAAAAATTTAAGGATTGCGTAAATAATAAATAAAATAATTATTAAACGATTTTTTTTTTTTTTTTTTCAAGCAAAACTTCAAAAGGATACAAACATCAAAAAGTATGAGCAGGATACCAAGTTTCAATACATTTGGCTAAAAAGAAAAAATTGAAAGAATATGAAGATGAAAGGTTACGATTGATTCTTTTAAAAAGATCAAATTGATAGCTTCACTTACATCAATACCATGGTCTCGATATTCTAATCGATTAAATAATAAATGTCGATATACTTGAGGTTTATGTAATAGCATGTCTATAAAAATTATAACAAAATCATGCTCAACATATTTGTCCGCAAATTTATTACATATCTCCTAAATAATTTAAAAGAAAATATTATTTCAAGTATAAATAATAATGAAATAAAATGTATTTAAAAAAAAATTACACAATGGGTCAGTCGAATGTTTCCTTTACTATATTCAGTGTATAAATTAGTTACAGGTACTCCACATTCAACACAAGTTGGCATATTGAGATTTTTGGAAAGAAAAAGGCGACAAACCTCTCGTGTAACGTTACTAACTGAAAAAAAAAAATGTTTGTTAATCGAAAATCCTGTGCACTTGGTAAATTTTTTGGGAAATGAGATTATTCGGCTTATTTTTGGCAACTCATCTTTTATTTACTTACATAGTAAAATGATTTCGTTAAGAAGTTCCGTGTCGATAAAACTTTATAAGAATTTCGTTATAAAAAGAGTAAATTTGTGTTTTTCTTGCAAAAAAAAAATATTACTTCGATGGTTTTTATTGCAGTATTGCGTAACCATGTATTTAGACCAATCAAATTTGAACAACACATTAAAATTCGTTGTACATCTGCCATATAAACAAAAATTTGACAAGTTTTATTCCAAAATCTTTTCCACTTTTAATTATCTTTAAAAAAAAATGCGATTAACGTCTCTTTCATTTTTGGGGTTATTATTATTACTATCAGTAGACATTATATATTGTGGAACTGATTATTATTCAGTTTTAGGAGTTTCACGGTCAGCAAGTTCAAGAGAAATTAAAAAAAGATATAAACAATTATCAAAAAAATATCATCCAGATAAAAATCCCGGTGATAAAGAGGCCGAACAAAAATTTGTTCAATTAGCAGAAGGTATAGCTTGATTAGAATTTTTAAATCAATAAATCCTGTAAAATATGTCGTGTTAAATACCTTCTCTTCAATGACAGCGTACGAAGTTTTATCGGATGATGAAAAACGAGATATTTATGACAGGTATGGAGAAGAAGGACTAAAGCAGCGAAGTCAAGGTGGAGGAGGTTTTCATAACCCATTTGATATATTTGCTTCATTCTTCGGTGGAACTGGTCATTTCGGTAACAATCATATATGTTCGATTTCTCTTTTTTTTTTATGAATGATTTAGTGATAACATGATTTTTTGATTAGGTCATCATCAACAATCGGAAAGACAAGGACCGAACATTACTATGGAATTAGAAGTGGAATTAAAAGAATTATATTTAGGAGCTCAAATTGAAGTCGATGTTTCGAAACAAGTTATTTGTGAACATTGTGGAGGATCGGGTGCAAAGAAAGCAGATGATGTTATAACATGTAATGTTTGTGGTGGACGTGGAGTTAAAGTAGTTAAACAACAACTCGGTCCTGGAATTTTTCAACAATTTCATTCCACGTAAGTATAAACTCTTTGAAAGTGATTTATTTAAAAGTTAAAGTTTTGATTAATCTTTGATTTATAGATGTGAAACGTGTGGTGGAGTAGGTAAAATTGTAAAATCGAAATGTCCAGTGTGTAAAGGAAAGAAAGTTCGACGTGGAAATGAGCAATTAACAATAATAATTGAAAAAGGGCAAGTTGATGGTGGAACGATTGTGAGTAACGAAATCCTTTTACGTAGCGAGATTTGTATTTTATATCTAAAGTATAATTAATTGATTTTATCTTTAATATAGGTTTTTGAGAAAGAAGGTGATGAATCACCAGAAACAATTCCCGGCGATATAATATTTAAAGTAAACACAATACCGAATCCGACATTCGAAAGAAAAGGAAACGATTTATATGCAGAACAAACAATATCACTGATAGATGTAAGCTTTAAGCATCAAAGCATTGAGAGTTAAAAAAGGACTATGCTAATCTAACATTGTGTTTTTAGGCACTTACTGGATTTGAAAAGAATATGACACACCTTGACGATAGAAATGTTTTACTGAAAAGAGATAAAGTAACGCAACCGGGATTTGTTCAAATTATTAAAAATGAAGGGATGCCACAATTTAGATCACAAAGTAAAGGCGATTTATATGTAAAATACACGGTAGTATTCCCTTCTGTAATAGATGATAATACCAAACAAGGTAAGAACAGCATTATTTATAGGAAACCTTTTTTTTTTTAATAATTTTAATTAATTCCTTTTTTTTTTAAAAAAAAAAAAAAAATGATGATGATGATGATGATCACAACAGTATTAAAAGACCTTTTCGGAAAATCTGACACGAGAAATATACATGAAAAAGATGAATTATAATATTTAAGACGACGACTTTATAGAAATATTTAAAAATAGAGGTTTAATACCTTCACCATATACATTACTTTTTAATTTGGCACATTTCCATCATATATCATTTATTTCATGAGCCAATTAATTTTATTTAATTCATCATATTATGTAATTTGTTCGTAACAAAATTTTTTTTTTTCCTTTATTATATACATGTAGAAAAACGATTTAACGTAGTTTAATTCTTCTAATTGTTAAAAAAAAAATTTTTATTAAATGCATATAAATGTTAATGATGTCTTGTTTTTTCGTGATGCGTCTCGTTTTTTTATTATAGGATTTCGTCTATAAAAATATCATGTGATGTACGCTATCCGATTCCATAACTTGGAGGAAAAAAAGATAAAAAAAAAAGTCAAAAAATATGTTCATATTAGAAGGAAATTTTAAAAAATTGATTTCTTACTTTTCGTCACATTTTTCAATCCTCTATTCAAAAAAGATAATAATTTTAATATTGAAATATAAATAAACATTTACAATTATTAAAAAAAAAGACTTACGGTAGTATTATAACAATAATATTTAAGATGAATATCAAGAAAGATATTCCATAAGAAGTTAAAATGAAATGAAATAAATTTAAAAGATAAATACTTCTAACTTGTTTATAAAATATTGAATAAGGTATAAACATCAAATTAAATATTAAAAATATTATTCCCCAAGTAATATTAATTATTTGCATCTAAATAAAATTTAATTAAAAAAAAACCCCCAATTAATAATAATAATTATAATAATAATAATAACTTTTCTCACCTTGCGAATACGAGCTTTAAATCTAATTTGACTTTCTTGTGAAGCTTGATTTGAATTCTCATCAATATCATCAATTCCAGCCAATTCAATACCTTTTTTGGCCAAATTAACTGATATACTCCCATAAAATAAAAGACATATTACATAAAATAAATTATTAAATTCATAAATCAAATCTACACAAAATGAAAGGATCCTTGCACTTCTATTATCACCATTCCTATTCATATCAAATCCTCTGATCAACAGAAGACTAGATACGCCGATTAATGTATAAATTGACAAAATCCGAAAGATTATCGTGACTTGACTACCTTTTGGTATCCATATGGTTGCTATTTTAGTATTTGGACGTTCACTTTTATAAGGAATTAAGGATAATGATGAAATGGATTGACTCAAGGTTAATTTGGGAATTAATCGAAATATACTGGCCAAGTAAGTCTGAATCGCGAAATGACCCGGTATAATTCCTATTTTGTATATTAAACTTCTTATAACCATGTTTTCTGCAAACAGATTTAATACGGTAATAGTGCTACAAAGGCTCCGAAATAGACAAAATATAGCTAACCATAACGTTGAGATATTTATCGATGACCATTTATATATTTTCCACATTTTATCATTGGAATGAAAATATAATCTCCAACATAGAAGTGAAGAAGTCATAAAGAAAACGAAAAAATCAAATATCCCAGCTATTGATAATAGAACTTTATATGTTGATAAATCTTTATTACAATTTAGTAAAGTTTCCCAACTAAATAGAATGAAAATTAAAACGAAATTAAACGAAATCCTTTTTTCAACAAATTCACTTGCATAACTTACTCGCAATATGAATGTTCTTGATCATTATTCATAACATTAGCATCATAAGTTATATTCAACATGTTTTTTACGCATTGGAAACAAATTTGAAATTCTTTATATATATATGAAAAAAAGATCGCTCCGCGATTTGAAATAGATGTAATTTAGATAATAATGACTTTTTTTCAAAATGGTCAAACCTTTAATTAGTTAAGTCACGTCAGTGGAAAATTAATAACCCACATACAGGCTCATTAATTAACCTATATTCGGCACTTTTAATATTGTTATGTGTTAAAAATGTGAGTACTATACATATAAGTAACATAAAGAATTTTACCAATTCTTTTTGTTATTATTAATGAAAAGTCAGTTAAATGACGAAACTTATTAGGGCGAACTTGGTAAAACTTAAACGCGAAATTGGTTAAACCAATAAAATAAAAAATAAAAAAAATAATTTTGACACTAAACCTTGAATTTCACACGTTTTTAACAATTTGTATAGTTTTTATAAATTTAATTTTTTCAATATTTAGATAATTTTACTAAATCTGATAGTAGAATTTTATTTATATGATTCTCTTTGATCTTATAAAAGATGAAAAAGAAACATATTACGGGTTTTTCTTTTTTAGATTGAAACCCGTTCGTAAACATATACAAATGATACACTTGATTTACTGCGAGCTAAACGCACGGAACTTCTAATCAGTATTTTAGAATCGATTATCATACATACATTGATCAACAATGATAATCCGCTGTTGACGATCAATAAGAGATCTATAATATGATTCATTAATGGCGTTTTTACTTCTCATTTCGGTTAAATCTTCATACAGTGATTTTTTACGTTTCATGTGATGGTGAACCTATTGTGTATTGAGATTATTTTTCAGAAGTTTCATCGTTGTTATTATCCATCAAGTGATGTATGTGACCGGTGGATTTTTGATCTTTTACGCAACATTCAATATTCTTAAACCATTTATCTTCAAATATATCTTGTAAAGTAGCACGTTTTTCTGGAACAACTTCGAGGATTTTTCTCATAATGGAACGAGATGCCAAAGGAAGTTTTTTAAATAAACGATCAGGGTAACGTAAAAAGGCTTTAAATGAAGCTTCTTCTCCCGTTTTAGCTACCAACCAAGGGAACCTTCCTGTAGTCATACATGTGTAAATTATTCCCAATGACCAGATATCTGCTGATCGAACATCATAAGATGTGCGAGTATATGACTCTGGACAAATATATGGATCCGATCCACAAGGACCTAAAGATTAATAAATTTTCGTTTTAGTTAACCAATTAATTCAAATGTGAAAAAAAAAAAAAAACCGATATCTTACCTGAGGAGAGCATGACCTTATCAAAGAAAGGATATTTAAAGACGACCGAACAACCGAAATCGATTAATTTTACAATTCCAAATTCATTTAATACACAATTATCTAACTTTAAATCCCTATGAGCGATTCCCATGTTATGCAAATAACTTACTCCCAACACGATTTGTTTGAAACAACAATGAATTTCATCCTCGGTCATTTTTTTTGACATCACAATTTCAAATAAATCAAAAGGGGCAAATTCCATTATTTGGTATAATTGACCTTTCTCTTGTATGATATCAATGGTTTCAATGATATTTTCATGACGTAAAGTTGATCCTATACAAAATTCCGCGGTAATATTTTTTAACCAAGATTTTTCTGATTCATAAGGGAATCGTTTACGAAATTGTTTTACAGCAAAAGATTTATTATCAGATGTTCGATGTATTAAACGTACGGTCCCTCCTACTCCTGATCCAAGTACCTTACCCCATTTACCATATTTATTAAATTGTACGTGTCTAAAATTATGATATGAAGAAGGTGTTGACATTGATTTGGATTTGGATGATGAGGTGGTGGATTTAAATGCCATTTTTAATTCACGAAAAAAATTTTTTTTCTTTTGCGATTTACCCCTTAACGAGGAAGGTTTTTCGAAATTAAATTGCAGAGGAGCCGTAGAAAAAGAAGTTGATGATGATTCGGTGGTAGTTGTACTCGAAATTCCTGAAATGCTAAGCTGTGGGGTTATTGGACGAGATTGATCGGAAATATTTGGAGACATTGAATCACTTATTTCATGTAATGATAAAGCTTTATTAGCTGATGTTTGTACTTTTATATTTGAATTGCCTAAATTTAAATTTGAAATTGATTTTGAAAATGTTTTTAAAGGCTTTAATACATCATCATCTTTATTTTGACGATTCAAAGGAATATTATGTAATAAAGGTGAAGGTGGGGTAGAGTATATTGATGAATATTTTGAGCTTCTTCCTGAAGAAGGGACTGTTAAATATTCATCTTGTATCCACTCATTGCTCTCACCATTTTTATGTATTATTATTTTAGTTGATGATTTTGTTGGTTCTTGATATTGATTAAAATTGGTTGCTTCGAGAGCCATTTTTCAAATGAAAAGGAAAAAAAATAAAAATAAAAATAAAAAGTGATATGATGCGGAAGAAAAAATGTATTTACAAAGATGTTTGAAAAATTCATTGTACGTACGAAAACAATTTATATAAAACAATTTTTTTATGTTATAGTAAACTAAAAATGTCAATAAACTTTGACATACATAACATACATTTAAATTTTTTTTTCGGTAAATATATTCAACCGTTTGAGATAAGAAACAATTAACACGCAGTAATTATGTTGATCGCCGATGTCAATTTAAATAGTAAATAGTTCATCAAAGGGATCTCGAAAACGGAACAATTCGGAATATCGTATAATCCGCTAACTCCGTTAATTTAAAATTTAACCGATCTCCGTTAACTGCGGTCAAACAATTAGAAGGTTCCTTTGTTTATAGGCTCAACCCGCAGAAAGGTGCATGTTCCGCAGAAGGTTCCCTTTTTTTTAAAAATAAAAAAAAGCCTAAAAGTGGCCAAGAAAAAATTCCTTTTCTTTTTTTTAATTATTCAATGATATTATTACAATGATTAGTCATTTAAATATCATATCACCACACGGTAATTCAATGTGCTGCGTTATTTAGACTAATGTTAATTTGAAACACATATTTATCCGATTTTAAAATCTGATTAGCACCTTAAAATCAATATTTACATAATGTTGATCAAATTACCGTATTTATTAATTATATCATACCCCAAACTGTCATATTTAAAATTTTTATTTTATTTTATTAACGTTAACGTTAACGTTAATAAATTAATGTTCTTTTTGATTACAAGCATGTTTGCTTGCTATTTAATCAAAATAAAAAAAAATAAATTAACATATATAAAACTAAATTTTTTTAATTTAAAATAATGTTATTTTTGTTTATAAAATATATCATACTAATTAATTAATCTGTTCTAGTCAAATTAGAAATTGCTAATTTACAAATTTCAATTAATTAACTAAAATTATTTATATAAACCCTATTTTAGGTTTGATATAATTATTTAAACCTTTATTTTTATAGCTTTTTTTTTAAATAAAGTTTTGATATTAAGTTTTATACTTTTAGGTTTTATTTAACTAGAATAGATTTTTTGATGATCAAATAAATAAATTAGTTAAGTTTTTTTTTAGCTATTTGATTATAATTAAATAACCAAATAGCTAAATACTAACTTTGATTTAAAGTATAATTATTAAACATAAAGATAAAATAGTAATTAATTAGTCTAAAATAAAGTAAAGAACTATATAATACTATGCAAAATAATATAAGATGTTCTACTTAATAATTGAGTTAATGCTGATTGACTCTTGCAATTATATAAAAGTCTAGATAAAGTTTTAGACTTAACAATAGTCACTGTTTTCTAGTTATAATGTTATAATAATATCTAGAAGAATTTTAAATATAAATATATATAAATTTATATAAACATTTTGTAGTAAAAAAAGAAAACTACAAAAATTAAATTTTACTTATGTTTATTACTAAATGAGAATACATAAAATTTTAATATTAAATTATATAAATATAAATTTATATAAGTTTATATTTATAATATAAAGTTTTTATTAAATTTTTATATATAAAAATTTTGTTTATAACAAAATTTTATTATCAATTTATATATAGTCATATGAAATTTTTACAATAGAAAGAAAGAAAACTGTTGGAAAAATCAATTTTATTTTTATATATCAAATATGATTTTTAGATGATTTAACATTAAATCATTTTTTATATTTTTTATTTAAATTTATTTTTTTTAATAAAATTTTTTTAGTAATTTATACATTATAATTATTTATTTTAAAACTTTTTATTTTTATGGTATTTTATTTTTATATAAATTTTTATATATTTAACTAATTAATATTTATTTATTTAATTTAATTTTTATAATTTGTTTTTTATATTTTTAAATTTTTCATTTAAATTTTTATTTAATTATTTTAATATATTTTTATATTATTAAATTAGTAATAATATTTAATTTTATTTATCATTTAATTTATTATTTTTTAAAAATTTGTAATTTTTAAAAAAATTATAAATTAAAAATTTTATTATTGATCTTTGACTATCTTATTAGCATTTACTTTTAGCAATATTAATCATAATAGAATATTATAAAATTTATTATGAAGAATAACTTTAATTTACAGTTTTTATAATTTACTAAGAAATTATATAACTTTTATTAATAATAAACTAATTCAATCAATTTGTAAACATATGAATTTTAAGAAAATTTTTAAAAAATTATTATGATAAATTTTTTAAAACTTAATTTTAAAAATTGAATTAATTAAAAAACTTTTTAATAAACTTAAAATTTCTTCTAATAAAATTGATAAAATATATATTAAACTATATTTTTTATAATAATTATATTATTAATATTAATACTTTTTTTTTTATATTTGCAAGTATATTTACCTTACTTACTCTACAGTTTAAAGAATAAAAATAATCAAATAAATTTAGTAATATATAAGATAAAATTAATATTTATATAATATTAATTATATTAAATTATTTTAATTCTTTTAAAAAAATATATGATTTTAATTATATTTATATTAAAAAAATTAATAATTAATAAATAATATAAAATAATTAGATAATAATATTAAAATTATTAATAATTATATTAATTTTTTATATTAATTTTTAAAAATCGAATTATTTATAAAAAAATATTTATTTTAAAGATAATTATTTAGTTTATATAAATAATAAAATAAAAGTTATAAATATATTTATTTAAGTGACTATTATTAAAAATTAATTTTTTAATAGCATTATAAATAAATTTATCTGCAATTTTGAAAATTAATTATTAATATAAAAATTAAGAATTAATTAATATTTAAGTTAATTATTTATCATTATAAATTTATTATTAAGATTAAATTTTATCAAATTTAAAAAAATTAATAATATTAATAAAATTATATATATATATATATTTAATAATTTAAAGTATTATTTATAAATTTTTTTAAAAATTATATATTTAAAATTTATAATAATAACTAATAGTAGATGTAATTTAATTTTATATAATAGTTTTATTATATTTTAATTAAATTTTCTTTTATTTTTTATAAAAAAAAAAATTTTTTTTAATAATTTCAAAGCATAAATTAAAATTCACTTAAATTTATATTTATTATTATTTAATTAAAATAAAATATTTTATATAATAGTACTAATTTATAAATTATTTTTTTTTTATCAAAATATAATTTAAAAATTTTTAATTAAAGTAAAATTATTTTTATAATTTAAATAATAGATTAAAAAATAATTATTTTTTAAATTTTTTATTATATTAATTAATATTTATAGAATAAATAATATTTTTTATAATAATATTAATTACAAATTTATTATCTTAAAAAGGTTAAATTAAAAACTTTAGTTATTTTAAATTTCTTTATAAATAAGTAAATTATTTAATAGATTTAAAAATATTTAACTTTAAATTTTTATCAAAAATTAGATTAGTTTTTAATAGTTTTTACTAATTTACTAATTTTTTTATTTATAAATTAACATTTTAATTATTTTTTAATATATTAAATAAATTTATTAAAATTTTATTTTAAAATAAAATATTAATTTAAACAACTTTATTAAAATAATTTTTTTATATAAAAAAAATTTAAATTTAGATTTTATTAAAAAATAATAATTTATTTATAAAATTTATAATATATTAAAAATCAATTAAATTAATTTAATAATTAATAATATTTTAATTTAAAATCCATGTAAAATAAAAGTTTGATAAATGGTAAATAAATATATTATACTAGCTTTTAAATTTAATGTTAACTAATTTGGTAAGATCATACTCAAATCTGATATTTAGTTATTATTTAGAATTCTATTTATTTAGTATTATATTTTCTATTACTAAAAATAATTTCATATGATACTAATTAATATCATTCTAAAATTAATTTTTCTATTAAATTTCTCTATCTTACATTCCTTTTATTACTATTTTTATTGTTTTAAAACTAATATTTCTATCATTATATATAAGATTACTGGACGAAATCTAAGGTTTTGTAAGTTGTTTAAATGGAATAAGATAAAATTTAGCGAAATTATATTAAAACTTTATTAAAAAATCTGCAAATTCTGAAAAAGGTAAAACTATATCAAAGCTTATAAAAATGAGAAACTTTATCAAAACCTTAGTAAAAAATTAGCAAAACTATAGTTTAGATATTTTGTCAAATCCAAAATGAGTTTAAACAAGCAACCTTAACTATATATCAAATTTCTCTATCTAACTTTTTTTATTACTATTTTTATTGTTTTAAAGTTAATATTTTTATCATTATATACTGAATTTCTATCTAATGTTATTTTTATTACTATTTCTATTATAATATTAACTTTAAAATATAAAATATTTACTTATATTATCAAAATTTAAAATTTAATTTTAGGAATAGTCTATTTAAGAAAAAAAAAATTAGAATATTTAATATATTTTAAATGAAAACTTTGAAATTTTATGTGTATGTAATTTTTATGATTTTATATCAAAGTTAAAAATATTGTAACATATTTTAGTTTTTAATATTATTAGATTAAAATTCATTAAGCTCTTAATTTTAGTCAAAAATTTCTTAGAATCTGATTTTCTTAGATAATATTATGTTATAAAAGTTTATAGATTATTGTATATATAAAATATAATCAACTTCTTATACTTAGAATCAAAATAATTTGATGTGATTATAAAAAAGTTATATAATAGGAAGGAGTGACTATATAGGAGACCAGTATTGACATATGATATCATATGACTTATATGACTTATATGACTTGCCATAAGTCAATTATCATTTAAATAGATCTTATGACTTATAACATTATCATATATTTAATTTAGGCCGGCATTATATTTGGCCGGAATTATTAATATTTTCAATGTGTCCCGCTTCGAACTTTTTTTTTTTTTCCTGCCGATATGTAGATAAAATCGACTTGCGATAAAATCTCCGACTTTAACATTTGAAAGTTTATTTATGAAATGACCAATTTTTTTTTTTTACTATATTTAATTCAACAATTTCTCTCTTTTGAGTGATATTTCACAGTTTCATTCTTCCATCCTTTATCATGCCACATAAAATTACTACGTGTTCATCCATTATTAACGAAGAACAACCAGAAATCCAAAGGCTTAATGGATTGGATGATATAGGAGAAAAAGCAATGCAAGGTATTCAGGATAGATGCCAAAGAATACGTGATTCTTCAAATCCACTTTATGATGCAGCAAAAATTGCTGTATACATCAATTGCTTGATTGATTTTTTACGAGAACAAGGGTTTAAATATAAACACGAAAACAGTTTTGATCGAAATAAACCGGACAGTTTTGAAGTAACTGAAGTCGAATCACATAAAAGAGTTAAATGCGAAATTAGTGATGATTTATTTAAGTTAAATTTTGGAATTGGAGACATGCAGATTGATGATGATTCAAGCGGAAGTAGTAGAAGTGAATCAACTTCAAATGAGTATGAAGAAATTACCATTACTGAGGAAGAAATAGAAATGATTAACGGAGTTGCATTTTCTGGTATCAAAGAGGATAAATAACAATCCTACGAAGGTCTTGTACATGAATAAAACTTTACGTCTTAATTATTGCATTTCGCAGTAATTATAATCATCACTCCGTGGAAATCATGGTATTTAAATCACGAATCAAGTTTTTTGAGCATCTTTTAAATTTGGTTTGAGATTTAAATATGAATATTTTTTTTTTTTAAAAAAAAAAATAGGTTACAATCTTGTAGCGTAAAGTTTGTTCGTAGCTTACAGGAAACATTATAATATCAGCATTGCTAAACTAGTAAATGTGATTAGTTGATTAGATTTTCCGCATAAAATAAAGATAAATTCCTTTTTTTTAAAAAAAAAACAAAAATCCATTAATTTTTTTTTAAATTAAAGTTTTATTTTTTATTCCCCATATTTTTAAATTTTTTAGCTAACTTTGTAATATCTTGCGGCTTAACTTTCTTTCTATTTCGATTTTTGACATTAGCAGTTTCATAAAAATGCACCCCAATCTTTCTCTTATTAGTTTTCATACGCGGTTCTTTTTTGGATATTGTTACTTCATCATCATCATGCGTCCCTTTAATATAAACGATAAAGGTTAAATTGTAAAAAAACATGCAAGTTAATTAATCGTGATGCTTGATGCGTACCTTTTCTTTTACCACGCTTGTTCTTTTTTGACTTATTTATTACGTTTTCAGCCTTATTCTTTCCTTTGTGCGATGACTCCTCTTGATACAAAGTATCATCATCGTGATCTTCCCCCTCATCTGATTCGTCGTCTTCATCATCATTTTGTTCTTTGTCGGACTCATCAGTTTTCAAATGCAACTCACTTATATCTTCATCGGCTAATGTTTCGGCATCATCATCTTCGTTAGCATTCTCAACTTTGGCGTTCATAATGCTAGACACTTCTTCACCAACCACACTTTCAAATATCTCATCCCAATCAGGTATATCCTTATCTTCTTGAACTTTATTCTCAATCGTTAAATTATCATCATCATCATCATCATCATCGATGATATCATTTTCTTCGTATTGCGATGTTATTTTAGCTTCGGCTTCTTCATTTCCAAGATCGTCAGGTAAAAACGATGTCATGACCTTTATATTACGGAAATTTTGTTCTACTCCTTTTAATTCCTTTTTCTTTTCCTAAATGATATAATTAATATATATAGAAAGCAGAGATTCATAAGTCCTCAAATCTTACAGATAAAATTGTTGTAAATATCATAGTGACAAAAGTAGAAGTGTCATAATTATCATAATGTAAGATTAAAAATATCGTAACCATGTGGAAATATTCAAATTGGATTTGCACCCCATATTATATTTTGTTAATAATGAAAAAGCTCATTTGAAACACGGCTAAATATATTTCAAGACTTTAACATGATCTTTCCAAAGCTTTAGAGTTCATCATGTTTGTAAATTAAATTACCTTTGAATTATCAGAAATTTTCTCGGCAACCCCTTCCTCCTCTTTAACTTGCTCGGCATTTTTAATCTCATCAACGTCATCATCATTTCGTGGAGGGGGGGTAAAATATGGTATTTTACCACGTAGCCAATCATTCAGAACCATTTTAGATACGGTGCCCAAATCAGGTTCGCCCTTTTTTAATAATTTACCATATTTTTGTGCTAAACGCGCAAGAAAATCTACATGGTCTGTCCATTCACGTACTTCATAAGTACGTTGTATATATTCTTTTCGTACTATTTCTAGTATTTTTTGAATGTAATCTTCGGGAGTTTTTAGATTTTCAACGCGTACCTAAGAGAAGGTGCGTGCTTTTAATAAAAATGCTTGTCTGGCGAGGGAAAAAAACGCACAGTAAACCTTTTTGTTCCTTACTTACAACTCCTTTAAGTACAATATCTGTTTCGCTGTCTTCCAATGATGGTGGTACAATTCCCGGACAATCTATTAAATAGATACGTTTCATTAACGTGATGTATTGCCATACCTAAAAAAAAAAAATTTTTTTAAAAAATGTATTTAAACAAATATTGTTAAAAAATATATATATATATATATAATCCTTTTGATTATCTAAACTTTACCTTCGTTTCGCCAGGGATCGGAGCAACGTTACACACTTTTTTGTTTCTTAAAGTGTTTATGATTGAGCTTTTTCCAGTGTTTGGGTAACCAATAAACCCGACACTAATTTGCTTCTTGTCCGAATGTAAAGCGGAAAATTGCCTTAATAATTGTATCAAGGATCCCTTACCAAAAGAATTATTTATACTAGCATGAAATGCTAAAGTCGGATATTCCTTTGATAATATCGAAACCCATTTTGCCTAATATAACATAATGAGATAACAGACAAAGTTAATAAAATCCGATAACCAACATTAAAAGTTTTTTTTATGGATGTTCGATTTGAAACTAAGAAAAGCAAAGGGAAATAAGTTAAGTTTTCACTCTTCAACTCTACTCAAAACACGACACACTCTGTTAGAACATTCTTAGAACAAGAAGTTCAAGGCGAAGTGCGAATTTTATTCTGCCATAATTGTAACGGGTAATCTTTTACCATTACAAAAAAGCTACCCTGACTTCATATGGCGGGAATCATTAAACAAAAATCAATTAAACAAATGCGTGAAGGTGAAGCTTTTTCATTGCACATTCGAATCAATCAACTTACCGTAACCCAAGTTGGGACCAGATCGCATTTATTTAACAGGAAAACCAAATGTTTATGACTAACATCCTTTTTTATATATTTTACAACGTTTTTACATTGCGTACCAATTGGATCCCGTGCATCCAAAACGTGAATAACAACATCTGATGAATCTATAACCTGGGAGAAAAGTATAGCGATTATCAATTGGGTCCAATTCAACTATGTTTTAGAGGTATTTAACCACTTACCTTATATAACTCATTCCAGATACGCTTGGATTGACCTTTGGAGAATACGCTATCCCTAGCTTCGTCGATCCAATCAGTTACATTATTAGACAATAGTGATGGATCATTCTTGTCATCATAATTTTCTAATAATTCAGTTGTACTAGCTGCTAAATCTTCCAATGAATCAACTTTCAACTTTGGTCGTTTTCTTTGCGCCTTTGGACCAAATGTATCAGAAAATGGCTCTGTGTCAACCATGTGCATTCGCGATACCTATTGAAAGGAACAAAATTTTTTTTTTTAAAAAAAAAAATCCAAGAATTTAAAAATAATGCTTGAATTAGCACTTACCTTTGATGCATCGGATAATAAACTCATGGGCAATTTATTCTGTCGAAGTAACACTTGATATGGATCATTGACTTTTGAACCGAGACTTTCTCGAAAAGCCTCCAATTCCTTTTGTCCGATGACTCTAGTGTTCCCTAGTAATTTTCAAAGTACGTGTCATGTTGATGGCGTAAGAAGTAACACTAACCATCGAGATAAAAACTCACCGAACCATCGCCTATCCGGTTGCACTTTAGCAGCAAGGGCCAATTTACTCTGAAAAGGTGCCTCCTTAACGATCTTTCCTTTAGAATTTCTAGTCGGCTTTCCTCCCTTGAGCATATTAACAAACTTCACTTGTTTAGCGTCCCGATAAAAATTCTCACCCTTTACTTTCAGGTTACCTTTCGCCGGACCACCCCCATTTTTATTTTGTTCTTTAGAAATTCTGTTCTTTTCTTTCTTGGCTTTACCCATGATTTTCTCTTGATTTGAAAATTAAAAAAACCAGTGGCTTGTAACAAAATTTTTTTTTTTACATCTGGATATCAGATCGATGATTACGCAACCCAAATAAATACGTTTGTGACACCCCGATACGAAAAAATAGGGATATATAGGATATATATATATATATATATATTTTTTAAAAGGAATACGTTTTGAATCAAACATGGACATGGTATGGTTAGGGTTATTAGTTCCCAAAGTTTAATCTTATGAAAAGTTGACTCACTTCAAATTTATCGATTTGATAGGTAAACCAGTCTCTTCAAATTGTTCCCTCTTCTCACGCAGATCATGACTCTAAAAGCCTTACAGAGACGGCCAATTCCTTTGGTGTTCACGATACTTTACGTTATGGAATAAGAACAATCGAGTCTGAAATTTTAGAAAAGCATTCGCTAGAGAATAGACTCAAACATGTAAGGTAAAAATTACTGTTTATAAAATATGTAAATGTCTTACGATTCGGAATTTTTTTTTTTATTTTTATACGTCAAAATAAAAAGTGGGACGAAACTCGAACGAATTTAAATCTTACGATGCAAAGAAGACTGTATGGTATGCACGCTCCGATTAGAGTTCTCATGGAACGTAACATTGTATCAAGGGTAATAAATTTGTCACGTAACTTTAAAATTGTTAATAAGCAAGCCATGTATAATAAAATGTTATTCAATTTCAAGGTTCAACGTATTCCGGTTTTACCTTCCTCTAACCTTAGTTTAGACATTTTGACGGGCAAGGATGAAACCATTGATTTCGAGGATTTCTTGAACGGTTTGTTATATTTGACATTTCAATCCCTTCTTTACTTTTAATCAAAATCATGGTTCTTAAACATAGTATACACTTGCTTTATTAACAGAACCAGAATCATCAACGGAGATGATGAATGTTCACGCAATTATGGAACACAAATTGGGAATCAAGCCGTCTGCGTTTAATTAGTTGTATGTTTCCCTTTAACGAACAGGATTTAAATTAAAGAAATACATACATATATATATATAAAAATAAATAAATGGAACCTTTATTCAACAATGAAATTTTTAAGCCTTTCATATGCAGTGTCTAAATCGTCATTTACGATGATTATATCATGTGAGCCTTCTTGATCCGCATAAGCTAATTCTTCTTTTGCAGCATTCAGACGCGCTTGTATGGATTCTTTGGTCTCGGTATTACGACCGAGGAGCCTCTTTTCGAGAGCTTCCAATGAAGGTGGCTTGATAAAGACGAATCGTGCATTAAGATCGGTCTTCTTGACAGCTTTCACCCCCTGTAATCGTTATAATGATCAAAATTTATCAAACCAGATTGAGTTTTTTAAAAAAAAAAAACACATACATTTAATTCAATGTCCAAAATACAAATTTTTCCCAGGGATGAAACGGACCTGATCGCTTCAATGCTAGTTCCATATAGATTTCCCGAGAATTCTGCATGTTCAACAAATTTATTCTGATTGATTAGATTCACAAACTCGTTACGTGTCACAAAATGATAATGAACGCCATTTTCTTCTCCCTGACGAGGGGAACGAGTGGTATCTAATGATGGATATGAATTTAGCTCAAGGAATTTAAATAAAGCGGCTCATGAAAAACGATTTTGACCTACGAGACACACTGAACCCGAACTTATCGGGATAATCTTTAAAGAGACGTCTGAGCAATGTGGATTTGCCTGACCCTTTGTAAAAGTGATGAAACTGTTTAAATGAACGCGAATATATGATATTGAAAAGTTTCAATAAATAAAAATTTAAATGCTATTCACCCGATGGTCCGGACACAACAACTGGCCGAAGAGTATCTACCTTAAAAAAGGGAGAATAAGAATTTGCAAAAATATTATTTTAAAAAAGAGCGAGTTTAAAGTGGTTACCGGTGACTGATTTCATTTGCTCTACGTCAGTCATGATATTTTTAAGAGAGAAATTTTGCAATAAAGCGAACTTATAAAGTTTAGATGGTCGTAGGCAGTCACTTCTTGAAAAGTGTAAAATCATAATCCTCTTCTCGTGACGATTCGGATCTATCCTTAATTAAGAGTAATACATGTGATACAAATAATGGTTTTTTTTAAGCCACAAAAAAAAAAAACCATTTTCTCATGGCTTCTAGTAGAGTCGATGTCAAGGTTGGAATATCGCCGTATTCGTTTCACCTCTTGTGACGAAATCATACATATTTATCTCAACTTGCGTAAATTCACTTGCGGAAATAATTCTTATTAAAGATGGAGAAAGATCTTCCTCATAACATCTCAACGTTGTCAACTTATCGAAGAGTTAAAAATAATTGACATCCATCATCAAGATCCCGCGATCGATGCCTTGATAACGCTCATTAAATCGCAAAAAAAAAAAAAAATTTACGTTCATTTTGCCCTTTTTCATAGCGTTAATTTATCTCGAATAATCGATTTTCTCATATTTCAAGGCCATTCTTTAAGAATCGTTAAATCTGATACGTGCGTTTTTAATGTTTCCCTGATGCGAGGCGTCGCCGCATGTCGTGAATTGGAGCAATTAAAAATTCTTTGTCGTGTGATAAATTATCAAGTAACCTTTTATTTCAAAGGTCCCCTAAACAAGTTGCGAGTTTTAAAATAATCATACGTTACCACCCGGTCAATGAGTTTTCGGCGATCATTTGTAACAGGTTTTGCGAATATAAAAGAGTTGATAAAGATCCGAGGTAAATTCGATTCGGGAATGAGGAATATCTATCACGATTGGCAGGTTACGTACCAGAAAATTTGAAGATTCTCGTGATAACTACTTCTTTAAGAGTTCTCGATATCAACCGTTTCGATCCTTCCTTAAAAATTGTAAAGAATTAAACATTAAAGAATTAATGTTAAGCTACGCTGGTGACCCGGAGAAACATCTCGAAGCATTTAGTTCATACGGAAAAACGAGGGATGAACGTAAAGTCACACCACATTGTATTTCACGTGATCTGTTGATGCTTAATCTGCAAATCTCTCAGCCCTCTATGAAAAAATTTCACCTTAACCTTGTTACGTTTTAGATGTGAGAAAAAATAAAAATTTGGGGTCGAGGGACAGCAACCTTGAAGGTTTTTTTTACCCGATCATACAACATTTGTTGACCATACTGAAGCATCGGTTAGATTAGAAATCAAAAAATGGAGGAAATTCGATCTTTCGGAAGGATTCGAAACTAGTGCGAAATAGGTCTTTTTTTTTCACATGCCAAATATGGTTGACGTGGGTTTTGGGATTAACAATTCAGGAATCAAATTTTTGTCCGTTTTTTTTTTTTACCTTATCCCGTTGGAAATTCGGAGTGAAGCGAAACTACGTTTTTTTTTTTTTCAAATCGGATTCAATCGAAATAAGAGTCTATTATAACATCAACACATAATATCAACTCGAAGGAATAAAAAAACAAATAATTTCGATACCTATTGTACAATTGAAACAATTGGCACAAATATTTCGTAACAACACAGAACCAAGTTTAATAAACAACGCCTTCCAACAAAGACTTAAACTTTGTTTTGTTTGATCGGTTGGAAAATAACCCGATTTTATCATTTCTTATCAATGTATTCCCAAGCTTCGGGGCCCTATCAATTAATTAAACAACGCCATCCAACAAACAACAAAGGAAATCTGTACAGTATCCTTTAATATACTTATATTTTATTTTTGTCTGATCGAATGATTTATAGTATATTCTAAACTGTCCATATATAAAAGCTTTAGGGTCTCAGTCAATGAATTAGTATAAAAAGACCTTTCCCTCCCATTCCCCCCGCGTCCATCAAATTTTTTTTTAAAAGTTTTAAGCTATTTAAACTTTGATCTGAAACCTTAAATTCAAAATTAAAGTATTAAAGTATATAGTAATATTTCCAAATTGGACATCAACTCTTATTTCTAATTTAGGTTAGAATTTTCCAATCAAGAATGAGTCAGCATGAATCTTATGAAATCGGGGGGGGGGTAGGTTTGGGGCACCAATCAAATAAGAGATTATCTGATTTGGTCAATTAATATCCGATACTATGAAAAAAACGACACGGTAAGCGTGAATGTTTTTTTAATAAAACAGAGAAAAAAATGTTAGATATTCAAACAAACGTTCACTACACTGTGTTCACTACCCTGTATTCATTAACTATTTCATAATCAAACAGTCGAGACCAACTACTATACTCCCCTATACCCTTATAGTGAAAATATATGATTGGACGTTATCTTATACCACATTTGGATGAAAAAAGAGGCCTCTCCCGTTTCTATTAACTCGAGAAGGTGTCTTTGATCATTCAACCTTGTTCCGAAATCCGTTTTCTGAAACTTTTGTTCCTACCCATCATGATATGAATCCTATCGTTATGTATTTCTGTGTAACAATGTGATTTTACGGGACAAAGTCGAGGTGCAGTCGTTTCGAAATACCGTTTCTTGGGTCGACAAACCAGAAACCAGAGTAAACATTACCAGTCTTTCTCAGTACTTTCAGTACTTTAATTTGGAGGTAATGAGATAGATACTTATACATATGCAATTGGCACTATCATTTCACTCATTGACAGTATTTATTGAGTACTTTGTTACAAAAGGAGACTTCCCAAAACAAATTTAGATAATCAAGTATTTTATTTATTTCTCTATTTCTCATTACACAATATATATTTTAATAACGGCTTCACCTTGGTTGATGGTAGCACAAATGACTTGATCTCGTGAATGCTATTTATAAAACTAGATTAAACCAAAAAATTTTTTTTTTATCTTATGTTTGTTAAAAAAAGGGGAGGGGAAAGATTTCGTACCCTGGTACAAAATGATCGTACATATTATTAATATGATCATACTTAAATTGTATACAATGGAATTTATTTTTTTTATTAAAAAAAAAAGGGTCTTCGGGAACTAACCTCAGTTCATTGTTTCATCTTGTGTTTGCATTATTTATTATCAGGTCAGGT